CCAGTAGCCCATTACAACCCAAGATCCGTACTAGATCATAGCAGATTAGTGTATGTCCCCAAGGGAAACTCTTTGCTTCTAAGCTAGTTTAATATTTCTAGTTGAGCTTTCTTGTGGTGACTGAAGTCCAAGAAATTCCTTTTGTTTCTTTATATCCTAGCCATTCGTTCAAAAGTTCTCATTTATTTTCTACCTTGTCTGAATACATGTATAAAAATAACAAGTATTTCTTCAGTCCTCTTTGCTGTAAAACAATTTGCAAAATAGCTTCATCAGACTTCGCCAGAATTTTACTCTGTTAGTACCGGAACAGCTTGATTCTATGTACATTGTGATTAAACTGCTTGAAAGGCAAAGACAATATACAAATAAAATGCAGGCAAATATAGAAAACAGTAGCTCTGTGATGAGGCCCAAATATCTTGCATTTGAAAGCATTAAGTGTAACCAAAGAGCATTTATTGGTTCTGTTTGGTAATTTTGCTATTTACTATGTTCACAGGCTAGTTGTTATTTTACTTTTAAATGTTATGCATTGTTGCTCCCAGTCCATAGGTTGGGAACAAACCTGACTCATGTTTCCTTTCATTTGCTCGTTTATTTAGCAGACATTATGAGGTGTGTGGTATATACCCGGCATTTCACTAGCCACTAGAATTACTTTCGTGAGAAAAAAAACTATGGCTTCTGCACTCATGGAACTTGCAACTTACTAAGGGAAGCAGTCATTAGTAATAATAATTTTCCTAATCACACAAATAAATATAAAATTGCATCTGTGATAAATGGTAGAGATTAGAAGATCATGGTACTATAAGAGCTTGAGAGAGAGGGATTCACAGAATTTCAAACATAAATTATGAGATCCTGCACCAAGTTCAAAACACTTTAAATCTTCATCTTTCTCTTTAGAAAGATTGATAATTTGGCTTATCCAGTGTGCTTTTAGAATACTTTCTGTAGATACTATCATGGAAGGGAAATGGCACTAGGAAAGATCCCTTTTACTTATCTGGACCGAGTATCCCTGTGACCCCAGTTATGTGAGTAATGTGTCCTTCCTTCTCCCCATACCATTGGGGATAACATGCCAGTTTGAATGATTGCCTTTGGTGACAGTGTTCCTCGGGGCATGACTGGTGGTTTTCCTCTATAAAGCCTTATACCCACAGTGGATTCTAAGTTTGGAGTTTTGGTGGCAGTGGTGGTGACTAGTTAGTTACATTTTAAGAGCTACTTTTGGAATTGAGTGTTACACCATCAGATTTATAACATACAACCATAAAAAACAGATTGAGCTATAAGTGTGTTCATAAATATTCTCAATGGATCCTCACTTCTAATTTAAATAAAAAGTACTAGTTTCAGCCTATATCAGAAATCTTAAAACGTGTGCTTTGTTTTATGAGAAAAGTCAGTTATAGTACCTGGGGGAGTTGTTTTAAGTTATTCATGACTGCCCTTTGAAGACTTTTCAAATATTTCAAATAAATAAGGTCAGGAGGAATGTATACTCTTATTTTGGTAGATATTGTAAGGATAGTTAAAAGTATTTTTATATGTGTGCAAACTGCCAAAATAATTCTGAGTGGATTATGCTAAAATGATTGTCATAATTGAGTCCTCTGTGTTTGTAGTTGGCTTTGAAAGGGGTTTTTGCTTCTTATTTGTTGGATTATTATGTTATTTTTAACTAATTTGGCAGTCCTTGGGTATACACTTAAACTTTTTTAAAACAAATTGTACAAAACTAAAACCAGTTATAATGAAGTTGTTTTTCAGTCACATAGTGGCTGCTCTCAAATGAGGCTAAAACTGTCTCTAAAGAATGTTCTTGTGCGTATGCCAAGAGGCTTCTGGGATGGGCATATTTTTAAGAACTTAGAACATAAACAACTCTGATCTGTGGCAAGAGATTTAAATGACCTCATGATGACAACAAGAACAAAGCATTTTTTAAATTATCATGGTGGTGTGTTAATTCATTGCAATGTGTTTGTTATTCTACTATTTTGGTATATTAAGTGAGAGCCAGGCAAAAAAAAAAAAAAAAAAATTACAGACTGTATTTAACTGAAGATAGTATTTCTTCACTGTTATAAACAAACTAAGTACCAGAAAAAGTTATTTCCTAAGAATAAATATTTCATAAATTATTCTAGAGGTATATAGGTCTTTTTTTTTCCATCTACATGAACCACTTAGGGATGAAGGCCATTTATTTAGATCCTAAAGTTTTGATTTATTTTCTGTTGGAGAGACTATGTTCCAAACATGAAAGATCAAACAGTTGGCTTGAAATAAGAAGTCCCTCCTTCAAGACAGATCAATTAAGTGTTTATTAAGTACTTATTATGTGTCTGGCACTATGCTAAATATTATGGAATTTGAAAGAAAATGACTTTAGCTGCCTTGGGTCTAGTTAGAAGAAAAGAAATACTCGGATGAAACTTATAAAGTGGAAAGACATTATATAATCAAGTACCAAATAAAATAACATCACTTATATGGTACAAATAATGACACAGCCCTTCTTTTCAGAAATGACTTCTAATCATTGTTAGAGCAGTAGTTCTTAACTAAAAGTGATTTTGCCCCCCAAAAGGACATTTGGCAGTGTTTGGAGACATTTTTGGTCATCATAACTGAGGCTACTTGCTAAATATCTTCCAAAGCACAGGATAGCCCATCACAACAAATAATTGTCTGGTCCAAAATGACAATAGTGCTGAAGTTGATAAACCCTTGATATAGAGCCTACAAATGTCAATGCTGCTAAGTTTTGAAGTTGTAGGATATGGACTCTCATCTTCCTATAGACCTCTTCAGCCCCTTATGTAACTGTTCTTTACAGAAGGCCCTGGGATCCTTACACAGAAATGGTCACTGGGTATTCAGAAGCCTCCTGAACATTGTATGCAAGTTTTTTCAGTACAATGTTCCAGGGACAGCGTTCATAGCTTTTATCAATTTCTCAAGATAGTCATGTCTTCAGAAATGTTCCAGATAGTTCAAACCAGTGCTGCTGTTGTGTGTGAGTGTGTGTGTGTGTGTGTGTGTGTGTGTGTGTGTGTGTGTGTGTGTGTGTGTAGAGAGAGAGAGAGAGAGAGAGCGAGAGCTTTGTGCTGAGCTAGAAGTAGATTTTGTTTCAAGGATCAACATTAATAATAAAATAACTTTTTGGTGATAAAACTATAAATTTAATATTCTGAAGTAATAAAATCTTTTGCAGTGTATGAGGAAATTATAATAGAATACTTGTTTTATCAGAATTCATGACTTTCTCCCAAATGGAAGTCCTAGTTTACATTTCTTAGGTGCTATTTATCTGTTGAATCATTTAAAGATCTGAACAGTTTTTTATAGTCCACATTTTTCCTAAAAACTATTTAGTAAGGGGAATTATTTTTTCTCATAAGAAATATTTTAGAATTGAGAGTTGTGTTCTGATTTGGCATTCATTAAGTCAGAGATCCTAACAGCAGCATCTCAAAAATCAAATGTACATAACCTTGGGTGTGCATTTAAGTTAATACTTTTCTAAGTCATAGAAATTTGAAGATTAAGTCCTGATTTTAAAACCAAGGAAGGTCTTAGACATCATCTGTTTTAGCTGTTTCAAACTGTTCTTTAGGGCTCAAGGCCCAAAAGCACTGCTTTTGTTGTTTTATATATTTGGACTTTTACCAGATATTTTGTTTGAGGGGGGAGATGTCAGTGCATGTGGGAGAGGGGATTGCATACTTCTGATCTAGACCATCATTTTACAGATAAAGAACCTGAGACCCAAAGCTTTAAGATTTTGTTCTTGGGTATACATTCCTTTATTCTGTAGGTCAAACTAGCATTTTAGATGTACCTGGTAATAGTGTAGAGGATGACCAGGAGTTCTAATTCTAGCTATGCAGGCAACTTTCCACCTACCTACATGTTCTTAAACTAGTTGCTAAATGTTCTTAGTCCCTAAAAATATTTTAATTCTTTTTAGGATTGTTTTCATTTTCTTAGAATTTAGAATGTTTCTGGAAGATGATCTGTCTTAACCATTTCTCTCTTAAAAAGAACATTCCACATCATTCCATTTATTATTTTTAAATGGATTTTGTCATCTAAATATTTGAAGATCCACCCAACCATGTCATCCAAAAAATACTGCAAAATAAAATAAACATTTTTATTATCAAAGGAGACAGCACAGTATTTACATTTTCTTTACTTGGGTAGTAGTGAAAGTTTTCATAGACTGATAGATCAGCCTTGGAGCTTTTTCTCTTACCTTCTTAACCCTCTTTAGTTATTACATAAAACACCTAGAAACATGAATCAAGAACCGCAGACTATAGGAACAAAAATCTTTGCAGATGAAATAGAAGAGCAAATAGCAGCATTGAAAAACTGAACCATATAAGGTAGAATCTGATCTTGGTGGTCCTTTTGATCTTAACTATGTGGCCTCATAGAGTGTTCTCACAGGAGAGATTGAGAATTCTTTCCTTAGGGAGTATTTTAACAAGGATTGCCTTACTAAATCTTGTTAGAAACTTGGAGTTCCCAGGGAGCACAGGCTTTCACTTGGATAGCATAAGCAAGTAAAGATAATTATGTTAAAGATGAGATAAACCTCTTGTCTTTTACTACAAAAAATTAATTAGTAGTCATATGCTGAGAAGAATTTGTTCCAGAATTTTTCTTAGAGAAATGCAGGTTGAGCCTAAACAAAGTGTTTTTCTTTAGTGGTTTCACCATATATCAAGTTGCTAGATTTGTTTGTTAGTTTGTTTTGATTTTGTTTGGTTGGGTTTATTATTGTTTGTTATTAGAAGTAGCTGTTACAGAAGATGGTCTCATGTAACTCTATGATAGTGGAGTATTACAAATATTGCCTATTATCTTGTTACTCTATTAAATATATGTAAATTATATATATATTGTTTTTGTAAATTACATGAAATGTTTGAAGATACTGCATTTTAAACTAAACTATTTGGATTTTTCCTCAGGTCTTAAAGAAAGTGCAGAAGAGATGGTCAAAAACAAATTGGAAGGAAAAGATAAACTGACCCCTTGGGAACAATTTTTAGAGAAAAAGAAAGAGAAAAAAAGACTGAAAAAGAAACAGAAGGTATCAGTGATAATTATGACCAAATATTTATTGAATAACCAACCCTGTATCAGAAGGCACTAGGTACTCATCATCCATTATTTCAGAATGTATAATTCTGGAGTAGGCCATGTTATCCTGCCAATTTTGAGAAAGGAAAGTAATAATTCAGTAGGTAAAACGCTTTCAGCAAGACCATGTGATGGTATACAAAGCCTGGTGAGAGTCCAGAACCATTTGAACTGCTACACTCTGATGTTTTATATGTATGTACTACCTAAATAAAATACATGGTTTAATTGATATCTAGATATAAAGCAGTGTGATTCTGTTCTATGTTTTTAAGGAGGAGAGGCGCAAACGGACCTTTTTACTTGAGGATATTTGCATATTGAATTTTTTAACATGAGTAAAATTATGCTGTACATTTCTATTTCTCAACCTGCATTGTTTACTTTGCAGTGTTATCTATAATTTGATTCTTTTAACATCTTATTGTTATATTTCTTTATCAAGAGTGTTTCCTTGATGTAATATAGTATCTGTGGAGAATATAATTCAGCTCCCATTGTTCAGGTAATGACATCTTTTCCAGAGTTAGAGTCCTCAGTAATAGCAGAGACAAGTTAGAGTTTTTGCCACTAAAAATATTCTTATCCTGTCACTGAAATGCAGCATTCTGGCAGTGGTGTCATTGCCTTGCAGTGTTATCACTAATAACCACATTTTATGTACAACATGGGGAACCTTAAATGATTAATTCTAGTCCAACACTGTTATCTTATAGTTGTAGAAAATAAGATGATTTTTCTGAGGTTACACAGCATGCCAGTGGCCAGACACACCAGAGTCCACGATCTCTGAGTCCAGTATTCTTTCTACTGTCTTGTTTAGTGCTTTTTTAGTGCTTATAGTGCTTTTGGTATAGCTGTGACTTTTGGTGCTGAAGCAGGAGGATCATTTGAGGTCAGAAGTTCAAGACCAACCTGGGAAACATAGCAAGACCCTGTCTCTGCCAAAAAATGCGAAAATAATTAGCCAGGCCTTATGGCGCACACCTGTAGTCCCAGCTACTCAGAAGACTGAGGCGAAAGGATCAATTGACCCTGGAGTTTGAGGCTGCAGTGAGCTATTATCATATGCCACTGCACTCCAGCTTGGGTGACAAAGTGAGAATCCTGTCCCTTTAAAAGAAAAAAAACCCAACAAGAAAAGGTAGAGGGCTGCAAAGTTGAATAATGCTGTGAAGTAATTTTTGTACTTACTGCAGTCAGTGTTTGTGGAAATAGTAAAATGGAGAAGTGGGACACAAGCCTGCCCCATTGATATGCTACGTTTCTTCTTTCCTAGAATTCTCTTTAAAACCAAATAGGCAGTAAAATATCTTTTAGATGGAATAACTCCACAAGTGCGTAAGCTATTCGTTTGTCAGAAAATGTTCAAGTGGGTCTTTATGGGGTCAGTGAAGTAGTCACTGGGAATTTTAGCAGCTATTCTGCTTGTTGTTCATTTGCTAGGCGCTGTGAGCTTGTGCTTTTACTTTTTCGTTTCTTTGGGCTAAGTCTGGACTCAACATTCTCAATATACTGGTTGAGTGTTCAGGGTATTCTGGACTCAGGAACTCCAACAGATCCCTTCCAACTCCACAGGTTCTCTGTATAATGAAGAGTCCCAAGAATTTTATTGAAGTTAAAAATATTTTTACCCCTGTTTTCCTCAGTTACTTCAATTTTGATACTGAAAAATTGTTACTGAAGAAATAAATATGTGCTTATGTACCATGGTATCTTGTATTTTGATCTAGCTATTGTTTAGGTTTATAAAGCAGTTGAAGAAGTGTATGAGTATATATGTAGCTAATAATCTTCATTAAAAATATCATGGCAGGAATGGTAGCTCACACCTGTAATCGAAGTACTTTGGGAAGCTGAGGTGGGAGGATCGCCTGATCCCGGAGTTTGAGACAACCTAGGCAACATAGCAAGACCTCATCTCTATAAAAAGTTAAAAAAAAAAAAAAAAAAAGCCAGGTATGGCAGGCCCATAGTCCCAGCTGCTCAGAAGACTGAAGCAGAAAGGTCACCTGAGCCCAGAGTTTGAGCCTGTTATGAGCCATGATCCTGCCACTGCTCTTCAGCCTGGGCAACAGAGTGAGACCCCAACACATAAAAAAGTCAGGTTCCTACTGAATTCATATAATAATTTGGTGGGAAAAAAGCTTAGAAACACTTGTTCTTAAAAGGACATTAATGTCAAAATAAATATTCTTTAGGACTTATTGAATCTTTTTACATGCAGGATGATGTTTGGCAATAATTCATTCTAAACATTTTTGTTAAAAATTAGATATTTTAGACTCCTAGAGATAAACTCAGTCTGCTTAGTCTGATCTTAGTTCACATGTTCTATTATTTTATAGGCTTGATTTCTTTATCTAGATATACTAATTTAGTAGACAGCCTGTTCAAATTTGATTAGGACAAATTTGACTAACAAATTTACTTAAAAATAGCTGAACAGTTTTTAGAGGTGGATTATAGATAAAACAAGATAATTGTTGAAATTACATAATAAAAATGGAAGAGTTTATTACATTGTTCTTACTATTTTTGTGTATGTTTTACAGTTTCATAATAAAAATCACTTTCTATAATTAACCAGCAAATAAATTATTTTAAGTAACAACTTAAGAGAATACTCTCAATTTTTATGAGAGAAAAGACCCAACTTTCTTCACTGATCACCCTTCTAAAAATATTCTTCTGTGAATATCTGCATCACTTTATTTCTCTCCTAACCATTCCTATCCTGAATTACTGTTATTCATGTATATGTCTGTTTATATGTCTAATCTCCTTTAGTAGATTGTACAATTTTTGAGGGAAGAAACCATGTATCTGATAACTTTCATTTCTCCCAGAAACCCTACATTTCTTGCATTATTAAATATTCCATAGGTATTTGTTTAGCAAACACAACAAATAGATATAAGAGTAATTTTATAAACTGGTCCATTTAAAAACATGGCTTAATTTTACTACTTGAACTACTTGATTTAAAAGAAATGCCTATAATTTGGTTTCACATACATGTAGTATAGTCTTTATAATAATGAAGCTATGTATTTTTATATTCAACTTTAAGGTTCTTGCTGAAGATGCCAGTGAAGATGAACTTCCCTCTGATGTTGATTTGAATGACCCGTACTTTGCTGAAGAAGTTAAAAAAATGGGTAAGCCAGCTCATATTTGCAGTTTTCAACTAGACTCTAAAGAGAAAAGTTGAAATGCATAGAAACATTAGAAACTCATCATTCTTTTAGAGTTACTGGTATTTGTGTATCCCTTAGTGCCTTATCAGCAGGTGTGTCCTGTGGGGTGCAGTCACTATTCAGATGGGACAGGATTGGGATGCCCTCTGTACATATGAGAAGTAATTTTATTAGAGGAGGCTTTTGGTAATGGGGCTAATTTAACAGTTTACTGCAGATTCCTTTCTGGGAAGTATCCTTAGAGGCAGTCAAATTGACTCTAAAAGTACAAGAAGAAATAAAAAAATGAAAAATAATTGTATTTTGTGCTTTCACTGCTTTTTAATCACATATCCACTCTAGGTCTCTCTCTGCAAAGGCTATCAAAAACTAAAAGTATGAGATGAATTGTTTATATGTGTGTGTTGATATATGTATAATTGTCTCAAATGTGTACATGAAATTGTAGTATAAAAAAGCCTTTTCTGCTCGAATATACAAAAGCACCTATGTTTCTTCTTATCCCTTTTGTACTTTCTATGCTTAATTATAGCTACAAGCCAGCTTCCTTCTTATTCCTCTTTTTCCTTGAGTCCCCAAATGGTCTGGTATTTGATTTCCTCTATCCAGGGAGCCTTGTTTCCATTTCATATGCTCTACTCATTCTTTCCTGTATACTCCCATTCTTTCCTTTTTGGTATGTGTAAATATATTCAGTCAAGTTCAGTCCATACTTTGTAAACCTGTACAAAGACCACTGTACACACTTTCCATTTGTTCTCAGGCATTTGCCTTTCCCTGATCTTTATACCACACACATGAACCCCCAAAGACTTGTTCCTGGAACAACTCCAAGCTGGCATTGTAAAGAGAAAGATTTTATGAAGTTTCCCTGCTTTTTGTCCCTCGTGACTAGTGGGCCAGAATAGTTCTCAACAGGAAAGTCAAAATTGCTCAAAATTATTTCCTGGTTGTTACAGCTTTTTAGCACTGGCGTTTTATTGATGAAAAGGAGATCAAGATGAATAAAGTCTATTATAGGATGTGAAATTCTTGGGAATTGGACAGAGAAGTGGAAACTTTGCATATTCTGCTTTTTATCATACCTGAGTGGTCATTTCTAGAAGATGATGGATTTTAGCCTTATCCTCTAGTTTCAAGAACCCAACTTTATAATGGAGAAATGTGAAGCATTATAGTTTCCTTGTTCTCTATCCAAAGTGCTTCATTTTGGCATGTGAAGTCTGGTAGGATTGCAGAACTCAGGGTAGGATTCAAAGAGTAAGTTAAGTAGTTTCTTGGTTTGAGTAGCCAGTTTCTTGGAATCAGCACATTTAAATTGTGAATAAACTTTCTCTTAAGTTAATATCAGAAGTTCCAAGGAAAAAGGTGTAGATAAAATTTACTTGCTTTTAATTTACTTTTGATTTCAGAATGCTTTCTAGGAATAATTGTTTCTATCTGGGCTTGTGTTTTTTCTTTTTCTTTTTTTTTTTTTTTCTTTTTAAGGAAAGAGAAAAACAAAGGCTGTGAATTTTTTACAAAAATTTGGGAATAAAAAACAGTGTCTTGCCATGTTTGCTTGTTTATTCTATCAATAAATAGTTTGATTGCCTACCAGGTACTGAGCATTCTTCAAGGCTAGAGATATAGCAGTAATAATACAAGCTGAGTTGCATCTCTCTAGGAGTCTGGTTTTAGGGAAGACATGCTAAATAGATAAATAAGAATATTATGAGAGTATGGTAAGTGCTTTAAAAGAAAGAAATAGAGGCTATAACTGAGAGGATAGAGGGGAGTTTGCTTTACTAGGGTAAGCAAAGAAGGCCTCTCTGAAATAGTGACATTTGAGGTGGGTCCTATAAAATGAGGAGTTAGGCACAAAGAGCTAGATGAAGAGCAGTGCAAATGAGGGAAAGTAGGTCGAAAGACTGAAGTAAAAGAGGACGTGTTATGTGGTGTTTGGAGTTGAAAGACACTAGTGTGGCTGGAGCATGGTCAGAGAGGGAGTTGGCATGAGGACAGGCTGGAGACATAGTGGGAACTCCCCCTTACGGGCCTTGTTGTCTTGGCTACAAATTTAGATTTTACTCTGCTGACAATGGAAAGTCTCTGAACAGTTTTTAAGCAAAGATGTGACATGATCTGGTATATATTTTAGCATATTACTCTGGTGCCTGCAAGGAGAACAGATGAAAGGAAGACATTGGTGAAGGCTGGGAGACCAGGCTTTTGTAGAAGTGATGGTTATTTGGCTGGCGTGCCAGTCCTGGAATTGGAAAGAGAAAAGAGACTGGGATTCTAGATACATTTTGGAAGTAGACTTGCTAATGTATTTTAAATCAGGAAGAAATTTTGCATAACTCCAAAGTTTTCGGGTTGAGTCTCTGGGAGAATGCCCTTCCATTTTACTGAGTTAAGAAGAAATGTGGGAATGGTAAGTTTGTGTGGGAAGTAAAGTAAATAGTTCCATTTGGGGAATAACTGTTTTGAGATGTCAATTAGATATCTAGATGGAGGTGTTAGATTGACATTTAGCTATAAGTCTGGTGACAGCGCGGCAGTGAAGTCAGTACAAATATAAGCTTAAGAATCAGTAACATATAAAGAATACCTCATGCCATAGAACTGGGAGTAGAAAGTACTAGTAAGAGAAGAGGGAAGCAGGATTGAGCCCTGAGGCTGAGTGAACCTGCGTAAGTTACTGTTACTCTGTCATACTAGAGTAAGTATCACTTGAAAGATTGGGAGAAGCTTAAGAAGATTAGAAGGAGAAGCCAGAAAATAGGAGGGGAAGTATTAACATAGTGTCATGTGAGCTGAGACAGAAGAATATGCAGAGGAGACATATCATTGATTGTGTCAGGCGCCACTAGACATACAGAGAAGTGTCTTGCAGACACTTGGTGAGTAGCGGTTTCAGTAGATTTATGTGGGTTAAGGTTTGAGTGAAGAGCGAGGAAGTAGAGACCAAGAATGTGCATCATTTTTCAGAAGTTCACTGTGAAGGGTAACAAAGAAATGGAGCAGTGACTGAATGTGAGTAAAGAAAGGGGGTTTTTGTAACAATGAGCTTTAGGGCATGTTTTTATCCTCTTGTGATCTGTCTAACCAGAATGTAATTGATATACAGAAAAATGGGAGAAATAAAAAGTAAATACTAATGCAGGTAAATTTGTATATTTGGTGGCGGGAAGGTGAAGGATTTTCCTCCTTGGTTTATGAATTTATACTTTTTTTTCATTCGTTTGCAGAAGTACTGATAGTCTAAGTGAGCAGATGAGTTGGGGACCCAGAAACATCATAACGGGGAAGGGGGGCTTACTACCTGAGGCACTTGATAAAATATAAAGGGAATGTTCTAGTCAGGATAACTGAGAATGGAGAAAGATGGGGCATATAAATCTGAAGGCAGGCTGGATGGAAAACCATGGAGTATACACAAGGGTAGCCGTACAGGAGGCCTACACAGAGAAGGACAGACCCGGCAAGCCACATTTCAGGCTGGCCAACAAAAGGGGCACATTCCTTTTAAATAGTGTGGGACAAGGCTTTTCACGGGCACAGTGCAAAACTATGTGCCCTCGTTCACTTTGGTGTTTATTCAGTCAGTAAATAATTGAGTGTCAGAATCACCCAAGCCTCCCATATTACTTTCAGCGTTTGGTAGGAGATGTTTAAATATATGAGAATAATATAGTTCCTTCCCATACTTAATGGTTTACTCTAACTAGAGTGTAACTGGGCTTTTTCGGAAATACATGTTAGACAATGAGAAGTTTTCACCAATTCTGAACTGTTTCCTCTTCAGGAAAAACTAAATTTGTGCTTAACAGTATCCAGAAGATATAAAGAAGAATAAATGTTGAATGTTAACATTTGTACTCATAATCCAGGAGGGACAGTTTAGAGTAGCAGTCTCCAGCCTTTTGGGCATCAGAGACCGGTTTAGTGGAAGACAATTTTTCCACAGACCCGGTGCGGGAGGGGGAATGTGCTGTCAGACCTCACTGCTAATGTTAATCTGTATTTGCAGCTGCTTCCCAGCACTAGCAACACCACTTCAGTTTAGATGATCAGGTTAAGGAGTGCGCCACCTGAATCCCTCATATGTGTAGCAATAGGGTTCGCACTCCTGTGAGAATGTAATGCTACCGCTGATCTAACAGGAGGTGGAGTTCAGGTGGTAATACGAGCAGTAGGGAGTGGCTGTAAATACAGACGAAGCTTTGTTTGTCCAACTTCCTCCAGAAAATCTAATCAAGCACTTCATACAAGAGAGAAGCCAACAGAGTTCACTGAAGGGCAGATGTGGTCTCAGTACTGACCAGATGGGAGTGATATCCTCCTACTGATTTCTCTCTCTCTCTCTCTCTCTCTTTAAATTTTATTTTAGCAAGTTCCTGCATCACTTGCCTGTAATCAGATGCAGTCTGTCAATCTCCCTCTAGGCTAGTACATTCTGACATCCAGGAATTTCTCATGCCCAGCTCTTACACATGTGGGTCCCAGCTCTGGCTCTGGTCTTTACAACATATTTTTAGAACTGCAGAAATAAAAGGAAGCCCACTAGGATTCAGATTCTGCCAGCTGTCATTGGAAAATAAGTATATTTCCCATATTTTCGTTTCATTCTATTTCATTAATGTACTCATCCTAGAAGTACATTATATTTTCAAAACTCATTTGACATCAAATTTGCAATTGGGGGGGAAATTATACAAATATTTAGCGCTCAAATTGGTTCCTAATCTGAATCAAACATCAGGTCTGGCATCAATCAACGAACTCAATTCTTCCATATTTTGAAAGGTATACAAGTTTAGTTCTATTGGACTGCCTAGGGCAAAGGTGTTACAAATGTATCCAAGTCCATCTGGTTTACAGTATCTTTGTCCTGTTCAACTGCAGACCTTGAACCATACACCCTATAAACACTGGTGTACCAAATTTATTATATCATAAATATTTTTGGAAACTAAGGTCTATATTTTAGATAATGACTGTATCTTACTCCAAAGGTACTAAAATCCAAAACATGTTTTGACAAATTAATAATGAAGGCAATATTGTGTAATAAATTAATATTTCAATGTAGGTCAGCTGAGTTACTTTAAGCCTACATTAAAAAAAAAATTACAGGCTGGGCTTGGTGGCTCAACCTGTAATCCCAGCATTTTGGGAAGCCAAGGTGAGTAGATTGCCTGAGCCTACAGGTTCAAGCCTGGGCAACTTGGCAAGACCTCGTCTCTACAATAAATAAAAAATTTGCCAGGCGTGGTAGTGTGCACCTGTAGTTCGGATACTTGGAAGGTTGAGGCGGAAGGATTGCCATAGCCCAGCAGGTTGACACTGGGGTGGCCATGAGTGTGCCACACTCATGGCACTCTAGTCTGGGTGATAGAGTGAGACTCCAACTCAAAAAAAAAAATTTACAAACTTGTGAATTTTGAACCAAAACCCAACTCTCCTTAAGAGTATCTACTATACAGCCTTATATCTGTAGGGCACACCAAATAGTCAACTTCTTTTCAACCTTCTTATAGAAATCCACTTCCCTAAAATTTTAAGTATGCTTCCATTGATCCTTGAAAGCAGAACAGGTAGGTCTGTGGCCTGTTAGGAACCAGGATAACTGAGGATGGAGACATATGGGGGGATATAAATCTGAAAGCAGGCCAGATGTAAAACCATGGAATATACAACAAGGGCAGTCGATCTTGCCCTGTGCTACTTTTTTTGCTCCCTAGATGGAAAAAAGTCCTCAAAGGGAAACATTCTGACATGGGAGAAGTGAAATAAAAACAGCAGAAGCACTAAAAGTCATCAAAATTGATGAGTTGAAAAACTGTTTTGAGCAATGGAAAAATTGCCTTGATAGGTATATTGCATCAAATGTAGAGTACTTTGAAGATGACTAAAGTTTAAACGTATAAGAAGAAATACATAAATTTTTGCAAGTAAATTGTTTTGGGGGAGGTCTCTCACATATTCTTTTACATTTTTTGCTTATAGGGATAGTAGTCTCAGTGAAGATGTTATAGATTTATTTAACTATCAAACTCTAATATTTGATCTGGAACCTCTGTTACTATTTGACTTAATAGAATCAGTTCATTTGTACTTTTTGCAGCAGTCCCAGGAGATGTAGTTTCTTCTTGTTTTTTTTGTTTGTTTGTTTTTTGAGTCAGAGTCTCACTCTGTTGCCCAGGCTGGAGTAGAGTGGCACGCTCATGGCCACCGCAGCCTTGACTTGCTTAGCTGAGGCAATCCTTCCACCTCAGACTTCCAAGTAGCTGGAACCACACCCGGCTAATTTTTTGATTTATCATAGAGATGAGGTCTCGCCATGTTGCTCAGGCTGGTTCCTGAGCTCAGGTAATCTTCTGGCCTCAACCTCCCAAAGTACTGGGATTTCAGGCGAGCAAATTGCCCAGTACTAATTACTACGGTCTCTTCTCTTTCTATTGATGTATGATGTTACATTTGATTATATACTAAGTCATACTGTTTCATTATTCTTATTATATAATATAGTAATTTTTTGGTATCTTTCACTTTTTAGAACATGTTAGTACACTGTATCACTGGTACATCAGATCTACCTAATTTGTCTTTGTGAAGATTTCCTTGAATGGAATTTTATTTAGAATGTTGTTAAATGTGTATATTATTTTTATCATGAATGTGTGTTGAATTTTATCAAAAGCTTATTCTGAATCTGTTGAAATAATCTGTGGTTTTTCTTTTTTAGTTTGTAATTCAAATTATACATTACTTTTGGAGGAAATTCTTTCTTTATAATATACAGTCACTTTGTCCAGAAGCATTGTATTTATTCCATTTACATACCCACCGTCTTCTTTTCTTTTTTCCTCCTTTAGTTTCAACACATTTATTAAGATTATTTCTAGATCTCTTGTGGTTTTGGTCCTAGTATAATAGATTGTTGCTAATTATTCTGTTATCTTTAATCCTCTCATGTTGCTTTGTTGTGTCAGGTATAAGGAAAAAATCAGTAAAATCTGCAAAAGATAGCATATCTGCAGAGGAAGAAACTGAACTAGAAAGACAAAAGGTAACATGCTTAGTGGATAATTGATATGTACAATTTAAATGAAGTTGTCTATATGTGTTTCCCTAATTTTAAAAAATAGCTTATTTTAGCAGTGAAATTTATAAATAAATTAAAAAGGACATAAATATTTTAGCAGCATAGTTTTTAAATATAACTTTTTTACCAAACATTATTTCTCCAGCTAGTACAAAGTCAAAGTTTACTTCAAACCCAAGGCTGTTTCTTTTTTGGTTAGGAGAATAGCATCTCATTATTAAAGCCCTTACTATAACTGAGACAGAAAATACTATTAAAACCTCAAAATAATATTGCCGTAAGTTTTAATTCCATCTGTATTTGTTTTGTAACAGACTTTGCTATTATGGCTTGTCAAATACGAATTTCTATTTTTATTAAACAACTTAAATGTAATATACAAAACTACAGTCTTCCTTGGAAATGCAAGGACCTCATGCTTGTTACCCCTTTAGGTCCAGTCATGTAATTCTGGCAGAGTCACATGTGTGTTTGCCAGGGCAGGAATTGGAAGCAGCAGTGCCCGGTGGCTGATGTTCACATCCCTGTCAGCAGTGAGCCTCACTGGCCACCTAAACTCTGCGTCTTAATGCATCTTCTAGTCTCCATTTGTTGCGATATGGTAAAGCTCATGCAGTTATTTAAAGAGCAACAAAAAAAAAAAACCTTTTTTTGTGGAAAGTGTCTCCAGAAAGAAAGCCAGCTGCAAGTGCCAGGGACAGAAGGGAAAGGAAATTTAGGCTGTCTAAAGTGGTACACAGGACGAACCTGGGAGCATACTCTATTTTCACCGGTGTACGTGGTTGTTTGCTTGATTCTTGAGATTTCATGTTTAATTACATGGTTGATAGAAAATGCCTATTTAGTGGAAACAAACATTATATTAGATTTCAGAAGCAAATATTAAGAGCCTGCCTTCATAGAAATGTATCAGTATTGAAAAAGTAAAGACAAAAAATGCAAAAGAAAAGTTCCTTTTAAAGTATAGTTTATATCACACAGTAAACATTTGCTGAATTTAGTGTCATTGCTTTAGAAGAACAAAGTGAAAATGAGAAATTTTTATTTGAGAGGCTTGGGGACTCTTGCTTCTGCAGCCTATTAACCAGTTACACTGAGTGAAATGTAATTTGATTTTTAAATGAAAGCTTTCACCTCTCTCCTGCGCTGGTAATGTTGCTTCCAGAGATTCTACCTTATTGCTATACAAAGACCTCCGAGTTTTGGTATTGCACAATAAACTTACAAATGGCAGTTGTCACCCCGGAGCTTTAGTGATTGAGTTGTCATTTCTCAGAGGGGATATCTGTACTGCATACTCCTCTGGAGCCCGGGGGTAGGGAGAACGACTGATGTGTACATTTGAACTCTTTTTCACTCCACAGGCTGAAATGGCTTTGCTCATGATGGATGAGGAGGAGGACAGCAAGAAACACTTCAATTACAACAAGATTGTGGAGCACCAGAATCTGAGCAAAAAGAAGAAAAAGCAGCTCATGAAAAAGAAGGAATTATTAGAAGATGACTTTGAGGTAACTGGAGACATTAACCTCTTAAAGCTGGAATTGAATCTAAAGTCAGCTCTGCAGATAGAAATTGAGCACAGTCCAATGTAACTTTGAAAATGTCTAGGAAGCTCTGTAGTGGAGCCAAAGCCGCCAACTTTTAGTCTAGCACAGCCACTTCATCCCTGGGTGGATCAAATCACCTTTGGTTTCTTTGGTTGAGCAGTTGAGCACCAAGTGAAGTAACTGATTTGTATTTTGGTAGCCGTGCTGCACCAAAAATATGTAGTTTTTAAAGTTAGAATCACACATACTGATCCCCGTGCTGGGAAAGGTATGCTTGAGTAAGCTGGGCTGGTGACCAGCATACTCATGTCGCATTGGCTCACACTCATTGTGTACAGTGACCAGCGCAGTAAGCCATGCGTTTTTAATTACTGTGTTTCTTGTTTCTGTCACTCATCTTTTCCCTCTTTTTGTTGAGTACATATTCCTAATGACTGCAGAGTCCTTATGTGTGAGTTTGAATCCTCTACAGAAAACCTACAGATAGCGATTGGGAACTAGTTAATGACTTCCAACCATTAATGTGGAAGAACCAACCATGAATAAGATGGAGGAAATTTGAGATATTATGAGTTTGCTCAAAGAAAGGAGGAGAGCCCACAGATAAATTCTGAGTAGCATGTAGCCACCTTGTGGCCCTCTGTAGCTTCATTTTGTGTGAGTCAGTGTCACATACATTTCTGTTTCAGTGATGCTTTCAGTAAGTTGTTTTCCTTATGAAAAGCAAATGATGATTTGTAGTCAAATCTTCTATTATGAGATCTGCCTTCACACGTGAATAATCATGTGCAAAATGTTTTTCATGAGATTTGTTGTTGTTCTTGGTTTCACATCTGTTGGCCTCACTGTAATAACTAAGTAAAGCTATACTCCATCTCTAGGTGGACCTGTGTTTTGCACGCTTCTTTCTCTTGCTGGTCATCTTGTGCCTGTCAACACTCAAGTGCCTGACTGGAGTTAGGGATACACTCTTAAATGTGGAAACATATGTTTTTATAAAGATAGAAGATAAATTTGGGGCTTGTATCTTGACCAGACTTAGTCTTTGAATGGATTATTTCCCATAGTGGGCTTTAAATGTTTTGATCTATGAATCACCCTTAATAGCTACTTATTTTTGGTGTCAAGATTAAAATTTCTTAAAATATATTCCACATGCAAGGACTCTGCATAAAACTGGCTTATTTATCCTGGCCAGAAATCAATTTCATGCTGTAGGCCTGCCTTCAGATCCTCTCCATAGTCAATCACAGGCCGTGTCTATATGGGCCACTCTATTTCCCTTTCATACAGGTTGTCCGTTGCATGGTAAGAACAGGGTACCTTGCATGTGTGGTCTAAGGGTAGGCCATAAAGATTTGTGGAAAAGATGAGAAAAATGAATCAGTACAAATGCTCGGGTTTGTATTTTATATAATCAGCAACTCACCAGCTTTCTAAATTTGGCCCCATTTCTGGGCCTTGTAGTTTACTAATTTTATTTAAGTTGTTTATTAATTATCAAACCTCTTGGCCTTGCAGGTGAATGTCAGTGATGCTCGGTTTCAGGCAATGTACACTTCCCACTTGTTCAATTTGGATCCCTCAGATCCTAATTTCAAGAAAACAAAAGCTATGGAAAAAATCCTTGAGGAGAAAGTCCGACAAAGAGAACAAAAGGAACAAGAACTTACTCAGGCAATAAAAAGAAAAGAGAGTGAGATTCAAAAGGAATCACAAGGGAAATCCATTGATCCTGCCTTGTCAATGCTGATTAAATCTGTAAAACACAAAACGGAGCAGTTTCAAGCAAGAAAAAAACAAAAAGTCAAATAACTGGATATTGTTTATTTTTGGATTGAGAATATGTTCTTCTAAAGTATACAGAAATCGTAGAAGGAATATTTATTGGGAGCAAAACCACCTTTCTAGAATATGATTATGATCTTATTCTGAACATAGTAAACTTTTTCTCTGTAAATAGATGATGGTATCTATTGTGGATGATTGACAAACCTGTATTGTATATACCTACAGATTAATCATAATTAGGCCAAATTACCTGGATTCTAGGATTTACAATTTTTTTTTACATCCCAAATGACTATTATTTATTGAAGTAAAATGAGCATACAAGAAAAATTTAAACAAGTCCCCTGCACAGAATAACATTTCTTAAATATATATGAATTTCCTGGTTGATTTAGAATGGGAGAATTATAGACTTTTTAGATTTATAAAGGACTTAAAGAAAGCCTGGCCCCACTGTTTCATTGTACAGGAGAGTAAACTGAGGACCAGAGAAGTTAAACAAATTGCCCCAAGACATACAATAGTTTAAAGGGAGCAGAAGCTTAAGCCTAGCTAAAATTTTTGTATTGTATGAAGTTCAGTTCCGACTGGTGGAAAATTACTCTAGTGTTTTAAAAGACTGTTTATAATTCTGTGTAAAAATAGAGCAGTGTCTAAAGTCTGTGTAAAGGTTAGCGATAGTTTGAAAATATATGTATATAATACATTAATTTCTCTGGAAGCAGGTGGCAGATTTAGATGGCTATTAAAAATAATTCATTTTCCAGCCGGGCTCGGTGGCTCAGCCTGTAATCCCACACCTTTGGGAGGCTGAGGTGAGTGGATTGCCTGAACCCGTGGGTTCAAGACCCCCCTGGGCAGCGAGACCTCATCTCTACAATAAATCAAAAAAATTAGCCAGGCGTGGTAGCGCGCGCCTGTAGTTCCAGCTACTTGGAAGGCTGAGGCGGAAAGCTCACCGGAGCCCAGCAGATCGAGGCTGCAGTGGCCAGGAGCGGCCACTGCACTCCAGTCTGGGCAACAGAGTGAGACTCCAACTCAGAAAAAATAAAAAATATTTAAAAAAAAATAATTCATTTTTCTAGCCATAAAGGATAGAAACCAAGAACTTTCTTTGTTGTTTAGTCGTGTTTAGTATAGTTTGTTTACAAAATTAACTTGTAAATAGAAGTGTGAATTATTTTTATCATTTTGTGTAGTCCTGATTTATTTCATTTTATGCATCTCAAATAAACTACTCTGTGGAAAAGTATCTGAAAACTACTTCAACACTTGAAGAGGGCAGTTCCATAAAAAGGCAATTCTAGGTCTGTGTTGCTCATAATTACATTTGAAGTGTTCATGAACTCTGCCGTGGTTTTTCTATTTGTAGCAACAGAAAATTCTTCTGTCTGACCTGCGGATTTTTGGAGTGCTTTTTAGAAGAGTGGCTATACTACTATAGAGTTTAAGGAAATCTTAATTCTTCTTAAAATTAAAATAAAACAAGGCCTTACCATTCTTGGTCTCATCTGGTCTAGTATTAGAAACTATTAACTGACCACTTAGACAGGAAAATTAGATATGCTATGTAAGTGGAAATAAAGCCAAAATGGTCACTTAGAGCAAATTATAAACACAGTAACTTCTGAAAGGCAATAGGAGTTTGACCAGGTTTGTGGTTAATAGTCATCTTGACATTTGGAGTATAAAAATTCACTTACCAGCCAGGCACAGTGGCTCATGCCTATAATCCCAGCACTTTAAGATGCCATGGTAGAAGAATCCTTTGAGGCCAGGAGTTTGAGGCCAGCCTGGGCAACATAATGAAACCTCTTCTCTACAAAACATTAAAATATTAGCTGGGCATAGTGGCCTACATCTGTAGTCCCAGCTAGTTGGGAGGATCACTTGAACCTAGGAGCTCAGGTTACTGTGAGTCATGATGGTGCCACTATATTCCAACCTGGGAGACAGAGCAAGACCCTATTAAAAAAAAAAAAAAATCAAACTTGCCAATGTATATTTTTTAAAGAGTAAAAGACTGTAAAACTCAGTTGTAGCAAATGATAAGGGAGTATAAACAGTCTGTAAAAGAGGAAGAGAAAAAGAGGACATAAATTGCTCATTATTAACAATGAGAAAGATGGAGAGTATCTAAACAAAGAATTGTTTTTAATCAAAAGAACTGACATTGTTGGGTTATTCAGCTGAATAACACTGTCTTTAGAAACAATATGTCACAATGGAAAAAAGAAAAACTGTGTTCCTATTGATATATCTGAACTTCACAGCATGTACTTATCACTTACAGGCCATGAGTCTTAATATATTTGAGTATAGTTTATAAGCAATTCTATAATGTTTCATATTTCATTCTATGCAAAGAAAAGGTTTTGTTCTCTTTAAATTGTTTATATGTAGGGGTTGGGCGCAGTGGCTCACACCTGTAATCCTTGCACTTTGGGAAATGTAGGCAAGAGAAGTCTCTGAACCCAGGGGTTCAAGACCAGCCTGACAACTTGGCAAGACCTTGTCTCCACAATAAAAAAAACTAGGTGTGGTGGTAAGCACCTGTAGTTCCAGCTACTCAGGAGGCTGAGGCAGAAGGATTGCCTGAGCCCAGGAGGTCGAGGCTGTGGTGAGCCATGATTGTGCCATTGCACTCTGGACTGGATGACAGAGTGAGGCCTCAACTAAAAAAAATAAAATGTGTATGTGTGTGTGTATGCCTCTTGAGTATTATTGCTGACATTTTGCCTTTCCTGACACATTTACTTGAATGTTTTATTGTTGTTGGGACCATGGAGAGTAGGCAGGTCAATACTGTGGCATTTAGAAAGGGTCATAATTGACAATACCAGTGAAGCTCAGATTTCTCAGAATCTCTAAAAGTCTTGGGGACCAGGTTGATATACGCTATTGTTGCTACTTACTCTCTGAGGGCAGTACATTAGAGATAGTAGCAGGAGAGTAAAGATTGCACAACTGTACTCATTCCATATTTGTTGAAGAGTAGACCAATACCAGATAGGTAACATCTTTGCCTTTTCTGTTCATTGGAATCACTTGGTGTGTCTTAAAGATCCCAGTGGCCAGGTTGCACCCAGACCTTCACCTAAAGTAGAATCCAGACATTTTTTTAAAGTTCCCCAAATAATTCCAAAGTGCAGCCAAGGTTGAGAACCACTTCCTTAGAAGAAAAGATCTTGAGAGCCAAGGAATTTGCTTTTAGGTCCACCAGATTGGAGACTTGAGTGAACTTAACATCAACAACATTCGTTGCATCTTATGACTTAACTAACCGCCCAAAATGCAGCAGCTTGAAATGGCAAACATTCAGTACTTAGGAATCTGTATGTTGGCTGGGCAGTCAGTATCCAGCTCAGCCGGGGCTTAGTGAGACATCACAAGCCCGAGGACTCATGGTTCTAGTGGTGGCTAGGGCATCCCTCCGCCTCCAGCTAGCAAATGCAGATGGCTTCACATGGGGATGGATGGAGAGTTCCCATGCCAGAGAGTAAGTCCCAATGGTCAAACATTTTCAAGCCTCTGACAGTCACATTTGCTGTTGTCCCATTGGCCAAAGCAAATCACTTGACCAAAACCAACAAGTGGCATAGACAATGCAAAGGGGTATACATACAAGGAGGCCAAAACGGACTGGTGTTATTATAGCAATCTACACATTAACTAAACTGCAAATTTATTTACTTTAGGGGTTGGACCGTTTTACAGTCTCACCAGGAATATATGTGTTTCAGTTCTTCCACATCTTTGCCAGCACTTTATATTGTCAGTTTTCATTGATAATTATTTTGGGTTGTTGGGTTTTTATTGTTTTGTTTGCCATTCTAATAAGTGTTTACCTGTGTCTCAGCATAGTTTTAATTTGCATTTTGCTAACAACTAGTGATATTGAGCATATCTTTACCATATTTACTAGCTTTATGTTTACCATATTTACCAGTTATATGTCATCTTTGGTGAAGTGTCTGTTCATATTTTCTGCCTTTTTAAAAAATTGGCTCACTATGGTTGACTTTTTACATGTTGTTTATACATCATATAGAAATCCCTTTTCATATATGATGCAAATATTTTCTCCTACTCTGTAGTCTGTCTTTCATTCTTTTAACAGTGTCTTTCACAGCAAAATTTTTTAATTTTTATAGAGTCCAATTTATCAATTTATTTTACGGACTGTCTTTTGGTGTCACATATAAGAACTTTTCGACTAACCCAAGGTTACAAAGACTTTTTCCTGTGTTTTCTTCTAAAAATGTATAGTTCTATGTTCTATATTTGGGTTCAATCTACATTTTATTTTATTTTATTTTTGTAATTTTTTTTTTATTTTTTGAATTGGAGTCTCACTCTGTGACCCAGGCTGGAGTGCAGTGCATGCTCAAGGCCACCACAGTCTTGACCTGCTGGACCAGGTGATCCTGCCGCTTCAGCCTTCCAAGTAGCTGGAACTACAGGTACACGCCACCATGCCATTCTACATCCTAAATTAATTTCAGTGTAAGGTGTGAGGATTCAGTTGATGCTCATTGTTTCTTGCATATGCATTTGTCCCAGCATATTAAAGAGACTTCTTTCTCCACTGAATTGCCTGTGTACCTTTATTAAAAAAATCAACTGGTCAACTACTAAAACTCAACTACATGAAATAGATAACCTGAATAGACCTGTACATTCAATAAATTAATTTTATAATTAAAAAACTCCTGACAAAAAAATTCCCAGGTCCAAGTGGCTTCACTGGAGAATTTTACCAAATATTTAAGAATAATTATGGCCGGTCATGGTGACTCACGGCTATAATCCCAGCACTTTAGGAGGCTGAGGTAGGAGGATTTGCTTGAACCCAGGAGTTCAAGACCAACCTGGAAAACATAATGAGACTTCATCACTATACAAAAAAAATTTTTTTTAATTAGCTGAGTGTGGTGGCATGCGCCTGTAGTCCCACCTACTCAGGAGGTAAAGGCTGCAGTGAGCTGTGATTGTGCCACTGCACTCCAGCTTGGGGGACAGAGTTAGAGTCCAACTCAAAAACAAAAAGATAAATCAGGAGGTTATTTTTATTTGGGTTTATTTCCAGACTGACCATTTTCTTTCATTAATCTATGTGTCTATTCTCTTGCCATTGCCACACTATCATTACTGTAGTTTTATAAGTCTTCTAGCTGTTTTCTTTCTCAAAGCTGTGTTGGCTATCCTTGTTTCTTTGCCTTTCTATATAAATTTTAAAATCAGCTTCTTGATACCTACAAAAAAAATTCTGCTGAGATTTTGTGTTAGAATGGCATTGAATCTATACATCAATTTGTGGAGAGTTGACATCAATAATAATGAATCTTTTCAAATCATAAACATAGTGTATGTCTCCATTTATATAGGTCTTTGGTTTCTTTCATCAGTGTCTTCCAGTTTTCAGTATGCAAACTCAGCACATGTGTTTTAAAATGTATGCCTAGGTGTTGCAGTACTTTCGGTGCTATTGTAAATGGCACTTCTTAGTTTCAGCTTCTCATTGTTTATTATTAGAATATAGAAAAATAATTTTTGCATACTGACTTTGTCCCCTGCAAACTTGCTGAACTCATTTATTAATTCTAGGAGCTCTTTGTAGTTTTTTGAGATTCTTCTCCACAGATAACTATGTCATTTTTAAGTAGAGACATTTTAATTTCTTCCTTTCTGATTTGTATCCCTCTTACTTATTTTTTGTACTTAGTACAACTGCTAGAACCTCCAGTGTGATGCTGAATAAGGGTGGTGAGAGTGGATGTTGTTCCCCATCTTAGGAAAGAGGCATTCATTT